TACTCGCCATTACATTTAATACATTTGTCCAATCTGCGATTCCATTCTTGGAAACATTTTTCAAACTCATCTGTTTGGGTGGCTGACAGCACCTCCCTCGTTTTTTTCTTCACTTCTTCTACGTCATCAAATTACTGTCCTTTCATGTCCCTCTTCATTGGCTGAAACAAAAAGAAGTCTCACAGAGTGAGGTCAAGAGAGTGTGTGGGACAAGAGAGGCCTGCTGTTTTCTGCCCAAAACTGGTGTGCTGAGATGGCTGCGTGAGCAGGTGCATTGTCGTGGTGGAAAATCAGTCCCCTGTCTGCCACAAATCAGGCCTTTTTTGTCACACAGTGTTATGCTATCTTTGCAGAACCTCTAAATAGAAAGCTTGATTAACACTCTGACCTGGTGGGACAAACTCCAAATGCACTGAGTCAACAATTTGGTCTGTTCAGGAAGTTGATGGACATCCAGAACGAGGTTTGTCGTCAACTGACATTTCAGTTGTTTTGAAACAAAAAAACCATTCGTACGTTTGGGTTTTTCCCATAAAACTGGTCTTGTAAGCTGTCATCACAACAGTTTCTGTGGCATTTTTCCCCGAGCAGGAAACAAAATTTCACAGCTGCATGCTGTTCCCTTAAATTAGCCATCCCAAAAAGTGAGATTCGGGTGAAACTGCTTTTATGAAAAAAATCACTGTGACCAGAGAGACCCTTCCCAGGCAGCACCACTGGGTCTCTAACTTAGAGCAAGTTGCTCAGTGCTTGCCTAGTGGGGGACAAGGCTTACTACGAAAGCTCTGCCCAGCTGAGCTTTCTCCATTTTAGTTTTTGTTTTTCAGTGGGTAGGAGGGGGGTGGAGTATCCCCTAGTATGTTGGTCCCGAGTAACCATTTGCTAGGCACCTCAAAGCAATAGGCCCAAACCAAACGGAAGTCCAGTGACTACCGCCTCCCTAAACGTGGGAGCGAGGTCATCTGCCTTTCCCACTCGGGAATTTCCGCTTAAACTCGAAGAAGCATTCCGTTCCATGGATCTGCTACAAGTGTGCTCAAGGTAAAGTTCAACTCATGTCATGGTGTACCCAATCTGGGCTCTTCTGGGGTGACCAGTGAAGGGTGTTGTGCACCCCAAAAGGAGAAAGTCTAATGTCCCAGTTGTCTGGGAAAAAGCGAGGTCAAAACTTCCCAGTGAGGAACATAATACCAGGTGTGTTTTCCCTTTGGGGTCTGGAGAAGTAATGTGAAGCAGTTTTCTCCATGGCAGGCTGCCCCACCCAGTTTACCCACCATCGGAAGTGTGGTTGCCTTCTCCAGTACACAGCTGTGTCTCCCCCTCCTCTGATCCGAGTTCCCACTAAGGTTCACATATTCCTCTTGTAGGAGTGCCTGTTGATTTGGGGCGACCATGGAACTCTCCCATATGGCAGCAATGGACTGATATTTTCCTCCCCACAATATGCAAATGGGCTCCATTTAGAGTGAGGCCACCTCTCTGGAAATGGTTTTTAGGATGTTCAAGGAAGAGGGTGAGATATGGTTTGCGGGAACTGGATCAGCACACTACCACGTTGGTTAGGGGAACAGATTAGAAGACTACCTGACCTGGGAATAGAAGCCTGCCTTTGTCCTGGTTGTTCTTATAGTAGTGGACTCATACAGTATGTGTTCTTTTGTGACTGCCTGACTTCACTGAGAATCATGGTTTCCAGGTCCATCCACGTCATGAGGTGCTTCATGGTTTCCTCGATGTTTTTCAGGGATCCATAGCAGTCCGTTGTGTGCACGTACCAGAGTTGCTTTATCCATTCTTTGAGCTGTTTCCAGCTTCTTGCTGTTGTGAATTGTGCTGCTATAAATGTGGGATTGCAAACGTCTGTTCATGTTCTGTCTCTCACTTCTTTGAGGTACATGCCCAACAGAGGTATTACTGGGCTGTGTGGCATTTCAATTCACAGTGGATTCAGGAAGTGCCCTATCACCGTCCACAATGGTGGTACCTGTGTACAATCTCACCAGCAATGAATAAGAGTTCTAATTTCTCTACACCCTCTCTAGCATTCATTGTTCTGCTTTGTTTGTTTTTTAACTTGGGCTATTGTTGTGGGTGTAAGGTGATATCTCATTCTTGTTTGATTTGCACCTCCTGGATCATGATCATGAGCATATCCTCACATGATTTTTCGCAATCCCCAGGGTTTCGGTGGTAAATTCTCTGTCCATGTCTTTTGCCCACCCTTTAACTGGAATGTTTGTGGAGTTTTTTCTTATTAAGGTATTGCAGAATTCTATTGATTTTAGTGATTAGTCTCCTTTACTTTTCTGATGAAGTCATTTGCTGTGCATATGTGTCTTATTTTTAATAAGTCCCAGCCATCTATTTATCTTCTACTGATTGCTTCTTTTATTATATTTGGTAGTACGTGTATACCCTGCAAAAGGACCCTTCAATCCATCCCATTTTATTTTCATTGATGATCAGGAGTTTACATTTAGGTCTCTAATTCACCTTGAGTTCATTTTTATGCATGGGGGAGATATGGGTCCTGTTTTATTCTTCTACAGATGTAGCTACTTGGATAATTTTTATTCTAGTTTTGGAGAGGCCCAAAATAAATCAGTGAACAAATTATCCTGTTAGTTTCATACAGGAAAATTTTGCCATGACATTGAATGCATGGAGGAGGTGCTGGTCTGGTTTAGATTGGGTGTCCAAGAGAACAGGTGACATTTGAGAAGTGAGATGACTTATATAGCAGGGCAGAAATAAGGCTGGGGCTACAGGAATCCAGTGAGCAGGGAAGTGGTGAAGTGCTAAATCAGGCAGGTCTTGTAGGCCATGTTCAGAAAGGTTGGTTTTACTCTAAGGGCAATAGAAGGCGGTGGAAAGTTTTGAAACAGGGAGTGACTACCTAGTTTACTTTATGAGAATATTCCTCTTACCGGTGATGGAGAAAGGATGGGAATGGTGTGGGAGTGGAAGCAGAGAGTATTCTGTGGAAGCCAGGTCATAGGTGAAGCGTTCAGGTTAGGTAGAAGGTTTGGGGATGGTGCTATACAAATAGATTGGGAATCAATGCACGTGGCAGGTGCTCAGGACTGGATAGGAAAAGGGAAGAAGAATCAGGAATGACGTAAGAGGATGTTTTCACTGGGGTAATTTATGAGTCCACACTGTCTTTCCTAATATGATCTGATTTATTTCTTCCAGAAACCTGGTTCAGTCAGTACTACTGGGGGTGGGACAAAGAATAAACTGTACTACTGCACGCATCTATGGTTAATGGGGAAAGTGAGTCTGAGGGAATTTGGCTAACCTGAGTCACAGATCTGCCCTCAGCTCTGCCTGAGGGAAAACTCCCACTCCAACCCCACAGGCGCTGCTGCCTTTGTCATGGGGGGGGCGTAAAGAAAGGGTTGTATGTAATTGTTTTAAGAAGCCATCTGGAGACTGGCCACTGTAAGATATATATGAAGTACTGGATACTGATATGAATGTAGGAGATAAGTTTGACTGAACATTTTGTTAGTTATTGTGCAAAGGGTTAAAACATTATAATTTATAAATATACTATCATATCGCCTTATATCCTAACTCTGATGGCAGTACAAAATGATATGATCATGTTGCATGACTGTTTGTCAATTTCTTACAAAGTTAGACACCCATGCCATGACTCGGCAATTCTACTCCCCCATGGAATTTCTCTTTCCCAAGAGAAATGAAAATATGCTCCCACAAATTATATATATTTTATATGTTCATGGCCCCTTTAGTGATGGTGTCACAAAACTGGTAACAACCCAAATGGCCACCCCCAGGATACTGGGTTAGAAAATTGTGGTGTGTTCACACAATGGAATATTACCCAGTAATTAAAAGGAATGAAATATTAATGCAAATGAAACTCAAAAAACAGTATATTGAATAAGAGGAGATAAACACAAAAATACATTCTATATTGTTTTGTTTAGCTGAGATTCAAGAACAGAAGAAACCATTATGAGATGGGTGGGAGACAGACAAGAAAGGTGCCCCCTCTGTGCCAAAAGAAATAGGAAATAGATATTTCTTTCCAGAGGTCAATTAGTATTTAGGCAGAATAGTAATAAAGGCCAAAAGAGAATTAATATGCCATTCAAATCTGAGGAGTACTATGTTTGCTAAGAAAAGCACTCATGAGAGTCTCTTAGACAAAGTCCCGCGGCAGCACAAGATGCACTGCTGTAGTCAGCGCTGACAGATCCATCATCTTGCCGATGGACACAAGGAGTTAGCAAACTATCAAGCAATCAGAGATTACTAATTTACAAATCCATAGGACCCTGGAAGGCTTATACTCTGAATTTTGACAACTTGAGAGCCTTCAAATAATCTGTCAAGTTTTCAGCAAGTTAACCTAAAGATTGACAGTTTGGTCCTACCAAAGTAGTGCGAAAGAAAGGCCTGGTGACCTGCTTTAAAGAATTTTTAAAAACCCAACTCACTGCCATCAAGTTGATTTCCAACTCACAGCAACCGTCTAGGATGGAGTAGAGCAAAGCTTCCTCTTTCTCCCCCTTAACAGATGGTAGTTTCAAACCGCTGACCTTGAAATTAGCAGACCAATGCACAGGCCACCAGGACTCCTTGTCTAATGAATAGATCCAAGAAAGCCCTATGATTTTCCTTGGTTTCTTGGAATGACCCCGAGTGGGAACTGGTTCTAAAACAGCAGGCTTGATTTTGGTTTTTACCTATGTGATGCTGAGTAATTCCACTAGATGGCAATGTGGGCACTGATGTCCACGGACATTGCGTACTACCCACCCCTTACTCAGAGTGAATTATTTGTTCATTTTTGGAGACATAGCTAGCATGTTATCAAAGGACATTTGAGTTTAATTCCATGTATTTTGTCTTTCAATGTCACCTTCTGTTGGCGAACATTTGAGTCTTTTAGGGCAAGAGAAATATAATAATCAGGATGTGGGAAAGCCATTAAGCTGACTCCGCCTCTTTTTTTTTTTTCCCAGCTGGCAAACTGGAAATAGTGAAATGGATATTCACCTGGCCCCTGAGTTTGGTCTTATACTTCACTGTTCCCAACTGCAACAAGCCCCGCTGGGAGAAATGGTTTATGGGGACGTTCGCTTCTTCGACGCTTTGGATTGCAGCCTTCTCCTACGTGATGGTGTGGATGGTGAGTGTGTCCAGGATCCACTAACCTTGCTTGATATTCTTAGAGAGAACAATTCACTCCGCCAAAGGGGACACACAGTTGGAGTTCGGGCTCTTTAACACCATCAGTCAGCTGTTGGTACTTAACCCCGCAAAACTCGGTGCTTTAAAACCTCAGTGTTTATTCCCTTGGTCTGCAGCTTTGAGTACTCAACCAGGACTGACTAGTTAGCTCTACTTTGCGTTACAAATGGCCAGTTTGATTCAAATAAGAGGGTGGATTTAGTCTGCTCCACAAATTTTCTCATTTAAAACAAATTTTGCTCATTTTTCTTGGACCAGTAGGCAGGAGGAAATGCTCTTCTCATGATGGATTTAGCATGCAACAGGGTAAGTGGGAACACAGTGTCTCTTTGGACAATAACCTCAAAAACTCACTGTCATCGAGTCCAAGCCCACTCATAGCAAATCTTTAAGACAGGGTAGGAGTGCCCCTTTGGGTTTCTGAAACTGTAACTCCAGGAGTAGAAAGCCTGGTCTTTCTCCTGTGAAGTGGCTGATGGTTCCACACTGTTGACCTTGCAATTAGCAGCCTAATGTGTAACCGCTGCATCACCAGGGTTCCCAAGGAGCCTGGTTTGGGGCTAACAAAGTACCACTTCCATTCAATTCGAATGGCCAAGCCCAGTATCAGTGGAGTGGGAAAACATACTCCATCTATGCCTACCTGTCTGTTTGCCATAGGATGGTAGTTAGCATTTTACTATGATGCTAGAAGCTGTGCCACCTGCATTACAAATGCCATCAAAGTCCCCCATGATGGCCAGGCTTCGTAGAGCTTCCAGACTAAGAGTAGGCAGAAAGACCTGGTTGTCTACTTCTGAAAATCAGCCAGTGAAAATCCTATGGATCACAATTGCACATTGTCCGACTCAGTTGCTTTGGACACTTCGTTCGGAGCGGTCGATTGACCCTGTCATATCGGAATACAGCATATCTGGTGAAGTAACAGGTCAAGGGAGCCAGGGAAACCCTGGATGAGATGAATTGGTACAATAGCCATCTCTATGCAATTAAACATGCTGGCCATCAGGAGGATGACACTAGAGCAGACAGCACTGGGTTCTGCTGGATGTATGCGGCTTGCTATGAACAGAGTGAACTTGCTATGAACAGAGTCAACTTGACAGCAGCTCGCTTTCTATCAGTTCCTTTGTCCATTGGGGGGGGGGGGGCCTGAACAGCAGACCCATAGAACAAAAGACATGGAAGAAAATCCTGAAGAATTGGGATTGATGATCTACTCTATGACAGTCATTGTCATGTGTGTCTTATTTTCCCCAACCAAAAGAGGTCACGGGACTTGGTGACACCTCAAAGGTTCTTCTGAGGCTAAAACACCGGCCCAGTGACTGGCACTGCTCGCCGCTGCAAAGCAAGTTTGGGAAATTCAGCTGCACAGATGCATTGTCCATTTCTAATTGCATGTTTTATTGGAGAGCACATCCAACCCAATAGAATAAGTCTGGCAGAAATTAAAAGCCTTAACAGAGTTAAACAAATCTAAATTATTCTTGCTTGAGTGTTGGGCGGAAATACAATATAAATTATGGAGAATTAAACTCAAAAACTAAGGAAAGGTTTTGAAAAGATTATTTTGCAGACAAAAGCAACTTTGTAATGCTTACAGTATTAATTCATAATTATCCCTTGCAATCAAGGTCACAAAGAAGCTGATAATGTGTTTAAAAACCTAGATGTCATAGCCAGGGTCTACCCTTCATGCTGTATTCACTATTATTTTTAGTTTGGCATAGTCACTGGACTCTCTTTCTGTTTCAGGTCTAGGGAATAATATAACTGTCCCCAACCACAAGTGCTCAATGGTTTCTCTGAAGTTTTTTAACAAGCAATTTAATTGACTAATCTGAGATGCATCTTCCTTTTGCTTTCATCTTTCTCCTCTGATGAAGGAGTCCATGCGCCTTCTAAATATATAGAAACAAGGGATAAAAGGTTCCCTGGGTCATATAAACAGTTATGTCCTCAACTGCTAACTGAAAGGTGGAAAGTTCAGATCCATCCAGAAATACCATATATACCTGTGGATAAGCCGATTTTTTCAGCACATTTTTAATGCAGTGTTTGTGGTAAAATTAGGTACCTTGGCTGATATTTGGGTTGGCTTATACTCGAGTATATACGGTACTCACAAGACAGGCATGGAAATCTACTTCTGACAAATTAACCATTGAAAATCCTACTGAGCACAGTTCAATTCGGACATGCATGAGGTTTCACACACATGGAATCATCTCAGGAATGGGTTTGCTTTTAAGGGAGAAGACAGAGAAAGTCAGGAGTAGCAGCCGCCTGGATAATGAATCCCTCCAGTTCTATCTACACACCAGCTGTGATCCTAACAGCTAGCTCTATACCTTCCCAGTCCAATGTGCTCAAACCAAGCCTGATTCCTGCAGAGGCAGAGCAGAGGGTTACAAAGGAAATACAAGGTTAACAACATAAATATAAGGTTAACTCCATTCCACTAAAAGTTCCTGACAGCAACAAAGAACTATTGTAGGAATATATCTTATCCTACTTTTCTCTCTGCAAGCTGAAGCTGAAAATCTTCAAAGCCACCCCCAAGTTAGGAAGTACACCAAGAGGAAATGAAATGTATTGTCTGGTCATAAAAAGAGTGCGTGAGGCATCTCAAGGGGTGTTAACTAACATTCCCCAAAACCTCTGGACAAAAAGACATCACTTTGGCCTTTGGAGTGAAGCCACCGTTTCCTACTTGTTCCCTAACTGTACTTACAACATGGGGTTTAGATTTCTTGCAATTTCATAGAAATTGAGGCAATCATGTGACATCCTAAAGTGGCCTAAGAGTTTCAACTCTTAGAAACTATCTTATTCTAAGACCAAGATCCCCATGCTACATTTTTTTGGCCACTGGCCCCTTGATGACACTGTATCCCACTGGCCTTCCTCTTAGCTTTCCCATATGGAAATATGGGACAAGAGGGCTCATTTCCATGATGAGGGAAACCTCTCAGGTGGCAACATTTCCATTCACTACATTAATACAGGGGATGCTGGGCACCATGATACTCAGAGAACACTCCGCATAAAATTCTCCGTGTGTCAAATGAGGGGCCACTTACACAGAGTCTTGGGCCCAGAGTCCCTGTTGGAATGCGTCTGTGCTACCTACTAGCAGGCTGTGACTTGGGAAAATGTTCCCTCAGACTCAGTTTCCTCATCTGAAAATTAGGCACCAGAACAACGGCTACCGTTAGGAGTTGTGAGGGCAGAGTGGGCTCCTTGTTGGGCTGCTAACTGCACAGGCGATGGATAGTTCAAACCCAATAGCTGCCCCACTGGAGAATGACGAGGCAATTTTCTCCATCAAGATTTACAGCCTTGGAAAGCCTAAGGAGCACTTCTACGCTTTCCTTTAGAGCCACTCTCAGTCAGAATTAACTCAGTGGAAGTGGATTTCTTTTTGTTTTGTTCTAGTGCTAAATGAGTGTCAGCTATTACAGTGATGTTGATAAGGCCCATGATGATGACGTCATTCCCCAGCTGCAAGAAAGAAAGCAATCAGTGCCCATGACCTTTCTGACTAGGATAGTGTGGAGAGTGTAGCATTCCCTTCTCGTTTCTTTAAGTCCCCATTATACGTTGTCTCCGTGAGGATCCCAGCCCTAGTCTGAGTTCCATGGTTTCCTGTGTCCCCTGTATTAATACAATGAGGGGAAATGTTGCCCTCCAGAGAGGCAGGTCAGAATGTAGCCTTTTCTGTGTCTTAATCAGAAAGTATCAGAGGGCAGGTAGAGCTAGAGTTGAACCTTCAGCCTAGTGACTTTTCCCTTCACCTTCCAGGTCACAATCATTGGCTTTACTCTGGGGATTCCTGATGTCATCATGGGGATCACCTTCCTGGCTGCTGGAACCAGCGTACCTGACTGCATGGCCAGCCTCATTGTGGCCAGACAAGGTGAGGTCTCCAGAGGTAAATGGAAAGGGGCAAGAAAGAAAGGCCTCCTACCTGGAGGTTATTGATGGAGTACCAAGTCAGGGCTTGAAGTATCAAAGCCTTCCTCGGAACCCTGGAAGTCAGAAGGTTCTTTTGAACAGAAGAACCAGAAGCGAATCAGAAGGCTGCACCTTCTGGAGGTAGTATTACTGTCCCTCCGTTGTTTGAAATAGGAACACATATAATGATAGGAAACCTTTCCTGAGCAAGATATTTTAGGTACATTGTCTTTTTTAGTTTTAATGGCATCTCTGTAAGACAGGGATAACCATATACTCTTTTATATATAAGGACATAGGGGCTTAGAGAAGAAAAGAGAGATATACCTGAGTTTCCACAGCTGCATTTACCTCACAGAGGATATGTTAGGCTGGGTTGACTAAAGAAACAAATTTAGGGACACTCATATATGTGTAATAAAGAGCTTTATATCAAGAATTAGTTATATATCCGGAAAATATCCCAGCCCAGTCCAACTCAAGTCCATAAGTCCAATACTAGTCCATCAGTCCCTCTTCAGACTCATACAGCTACTTGCAATGATGCAAAATGCAGGAATAGCATAGGCTGGTGGTGCAAAGTCTTGTGGATCCAATGGCGGAGGATGCATCACAGGGTTCTGGTAGTCATCAGGGTCAGCCAGCAGGAAGGTGAAGGCAGAGAGAGAGGGGGAGGTTCCAAGGGCCCTCCTTATGAGAAGGCCACACCCACAAGGTGGCATCATCAGGCTGTGACCTGATTGATAGGTTGAATCCCACCCCTATACTTTTATACTAGGGGCTACTCCCCCCCAAATAAAACAAGGGAATTTTTTTCAAAGCTAGTTATCTAAATTTTTTTTTAAAAGACAACCTTATCACCTTCAAAGTACCCTCCATCACACTTAATATATTTGTCAAATCTGTGATTCCACTCTTGGAAACATTTTTCAAACTCATGGCTGAAAGCACTTTCCTCATTTTTTTTCTTCACCTCTTCTAAGTCATCAAATTACTGTTCTTTCATGTCCCTCTTCATTCATGGAAACTAAAATAAGTTTCATGGAGCAAGGTCAGGTGAGTAAGGTTTGTTGGGTAAGAGAGGCATGCTGGGATTTTGGGGGGGGGGTTGTCAAAAACTGGTACACTGAGATGGCTGCATGAGCAGGTGCATTGTCTTGGTGGAAAAACCAGTCTGTCATCTGCCACAAATCAGGCCTTTTTTTGTTGCACACTGTTCTACAATGTGTTCAGAACCTCTAAGGACAAAGCTTGACTGATAGTCTGACCCGGTGGAATGAACTCCAAATGCATTATCCCCCTCATATTAAAAAAAAAAGATGAGCATCACCTTGATCTTGGATTTCACTTGATGAGCTTTTTTTTGGGTGAGGTGATGATTGCATCTTCCACTGGCTTGACTGACGTTTGCTTTTGAGGTCACGTGTCTCATCCCCAGTCACGACCTTAAATAAAAAGCCTGGGGGCTTCAGAGCTGTTCTTTCCAAACACGGCATGTTTCCACTCAACCCTCTTTTTCCTGGTCAGTCAGAACCTGAGGCACAGTTTCGCATTGACCCTTCTGATTTTCATATCTTCTGTTGACATTCACTGAACGGAGCTCCAAGAGTCCAGCTAACTTCCCCATCTCTTCAATAGTCCGTTGTCGTCGTAAAGCTCAAGTGTACAATTTTGTCGTCATTGTCATCCATTGTGGAAGCTGACGGACATCCAGAAGATTTGTCATCAATCAACATTTCACCTTTTGGAAACAAGAAAGCCACTCATACACTTGAGTTTTTCCCATAGCGTTATCTTTGTAAGCTGTGTTCAACATCACAACAGTTTCTGCGGCGTTTTTCCTGGAGCAAGAAACAAAATTTTATAGCAGCACACTGTTCTCTTAAATTGGCCATCACACACACAAAAAAGGGTTCGAGTGAAACTGCTTTTATGAAAAAATTCACTGTGACCAAAGAGAACCTTCCCAGACAATGCCACTGGATGTACTAACTCAGAACAAGTTGCTGGATGTTTGCCTAGCGGGGTAAATGCATACTACAAAAGCACCACCCAGTGGAGCTTTTTCTGTTGTTTTTTTTCACGGGGGGGGGGGGGGGGGGGTCCCCGTTGTATGTCTTAAAGTTGACAAGAGAGTATGTAACTACCACAGAGGGGCAGTGACCACAGGTTAGCTTTTAATGTGAGGCAGCCCCTTGTCCTTCAAAACCAAGATACAGTTCACCTACTCAGGTGGCTGCCCCAAATGGTCACCCCTTCCCTATCACCTTCTCTAATTGATAGACCTAATACATACTAGAAAGATGTGTTTTAAACAAACACAATATGTAGCTATAAAACAGCACTGTGTCTTCAGGAAATCCTCATAAAACCCTACTGATTCCATTGTTAAAGTTATTATTTCAACTTGGAACCACCAAGGAAAGAATCGGACTGGGAAAATGGAATGGCCTCCTTGAACAATTGCTTCCTTTAACATGAGCCCAGAAGAACACAATTGTGTCCCACCACCGTTCTTGAATGTTTTGATGAACGGTTTCACAGCATAATCCTGATCAGAAAGGACAACCTGCAGAACAAAAGTTCAGATCCATGTGCACTCTAGACCATCTGGAAGCTGAGTGAGCTAGTGGTACTATTGCCCTGTGATAAGTTTTATACCTTAAACCAAAAATATCCCCTAGAGTCATCTTAAAATTAAACAATACTCTTAAAGTATGCATTTACCCCAGTAGAGATCTAAAATCAATGGTGAGGAAGGGGTAGAATGCCTAGGGGGGGTTGATCAAGTGCATTGTAGCCAAGAGAAAGTACTGAGAGTTGTATGATGGATGAACATGGTAGTGGGACAGGAGGAAAGTAAAAAGAAATAGAGGAAAGAACCGGAGGCAAAAGACATTTATAGAAATAAAAATATAGGCATGAACATATATAAATATATTAATAGGGATATGGGTATATGTACATATATTTAAATGTTAAGTATTAAGGTAGCAGATGAGCATTGGGTCTCTACTCAAGTATTCACTCAACACAAGAACACTTTGTTCTAACAACCTGTCATTCTGTTATGCTTACCTTATGGCACAATTGCTGAAGTCAAAATTGGTGCATAAACAAATGTGGTAAAGAAAGCTGATGGTTCCCAGCTATTAAAAGATATAGCATCCGGAGTCTTAAAGGCTTGAAGTTAATGAAGTGGCCATCTAGCAGAGAAGCGACACGCCCACATGGAAGAAGCACACCAGGCTGTGTGATCATGAGGTGTCGACAGGATAAGGTATCAGGCACCAGAAAACTCAAAACAAACAAATATATTGATGCAAATTATGGGGGTCAGAGAGGAGACCCACAGGCCATCTGTAGACAATTCGACATTCCCTCACAGAAGGGTCACAAGGAAGGAAAGAGTCAGTCAGGGTGCAGCATAGCACAGAGGGAACACACAACATTCCTCTAATTTTTAATGCTTCCTTCCCTCCACTGTCATGACCTCAGTTCTACCTTACAAATCCACCTAGACCAGGACATGTGCACTGGCACAGATAAGAGCTCTTGACACACAGAATCCAGGACAGATCAACCCCTCAGGAACAGTAATGGGTAGTGATACCATGAGTGTAGTGGGAAGGTGGGGGTAAAGGGGGAGAAATGGGGAACCAACTACAATGATTGATGTATAACACCCCCCCAGGGGGATGAACAACAGACACGTAGGTGAAGGGAGACCATGGATGGTGTACGATATGAAAAAAAATTATAATTTATCAGGGGTCCATGAGGGTGGAAGCATGAGGGAAGAGTGAAAAAAGAGGAGCTGATACCAAGGACTCTAGCAGAAAGAAAATGTTTTCAAAATGATGATAGGACCATATATACAAATGTGTTTGATACAATTGATGTATGGATTGTTATAAGAGCTGTAAGAGCTCCCAATAAAATGTTTTATTAATTTAAAAAAACATTAAACAACAGTAAACGAGTAAAAAAAAATCTGCCTTGAGCATTATGTTCTTTTAGGAACTATTTATATCATATCAAATTGCCAATAATAACTAAAATACTAGATGGAAACCCTGGATGTATGTTCATGAAAGAAGGGAAGTGAGAATAGTTGTACAATCAGTGTCACTAAATGGCACATGTAGAAACTGCTGAATTGATGTATTTTTGCTGTGTATACTTGCAACAACAGCGTAAATAAAATTTAGGAGAAAACATTACTTCTTTGTTTCAGAGAGCAAACAAATGCAATATCGAGAAGGTGAAAACTGATATTAAGTGAGTTGACAGGCCACTTAGCAGTGCTTATGAGTTTGTTCCTTTCTATACGGAATCCTCAGGGTTTTTTTGAGCCACATTTGGGTTTTGGAATCACTGACGTTGGGGTCATAGTTTATATAAAATCAACATTTTATTTTATATAAAATCAGGGGTCATGTTTTATATAAAATCAACATTTCATTAGAATATGATTTTCACCTTTTGTAATTGCTTTCATTCTGTGGTGAGGCCTATACGGGAACTAGCAACACAACTCTCTCTCTTCAGACCTGAATCCGCGAGTGTCCAGCATGCAGCCCCATGCTCATCTGTGGTGACCTTCCTCATTTGTCCTTGCAGGTATGGGAGACATGGCTGTGTCCAACTCCATTGGGAGTAATGTATTTGACATCTTGATCGGCCTGGGGCTCCCTTGGGCTCTTCAGACACTGGCAGTGGATTATGGCTCCTACGTAAGTGGTTCTCTTCGCAGTTCTACCAGATAGGTTTTGAATGGCCATGTCTATTGTCACTTTGCCTCAAAAGCGATGTGAAAATGCTCACTTTTAGGGGAAACCAAGTCTTACCAAAGTCAGGCCGCGGGGATGGATTGGACGCTAGCAGTAAACGATTTCTGGGCAGAGTCGGAGAGTACATATTTTGGACTTGGTGGGCCGTAGAGTCTCTATTCAGCTACTCAGCTCTGACATTGTAGCGTGAGAGCAGCCAAAGACAAAACATAAATCCATGGGCATGGCTGTCTCCAATACAACTCTGCAGGATTTGGCCGATGACCTATTATTTATAGCCCCTTTTGGAATGCACTTTTATTCATTATATACAAAGTACAAAAAAATTACCAGCTTCCAAAATACAAGATGCTCTCTCTGCCTGGAATGGAGCCATGAAAGTTCCCAACAAAGCCAGGCCTGGTGCTAATGGCCCCATGCTCTTTTTCAAACCATGCTTCTGGTTTCAGATGGAGAGGTTGGGACCTAGCTCTCTGGGTAGGTACTGGTATTTCTTCGCTTACCAAAATGTCCGCCTCCACACATGAAAATTTTTGTTCTAGACATAGTTCAAAAGCTGCAATTTTGAAATTTCTTCCTGCACCAAGAAGAAAACAGTATAGTGGTTTTTAAGTTTTTCCATCCACTCCAGGGTGCATCTCTCAGTCTGTTGCTGTGCATTAATTTATCCCATCTGCACAATGTATTGTACATAAGTGTATATCAGACAGAAAACCTTGCGGCTCATTTTATCAGAGAACTTAGTCTTTGGCGTGTCCATTGGACACTTCAGCTGGGGAAGGTGATCCAGAGGTTGTGCTGGGAATAAAATTCATACACAGGACCACAGGGATTTGGTTCAGGGAGTTCCCCTTGGGGTAAAAAGGAGCAAAAAGGGATGAACAAAAGCACCATGTGTTCTAAGACTGTCTATGCAATCAGGCAATGATGTGGGAAGTGGAGAGGCCACTTTTGGCTGGGTTGTCTGCAAAGGCTGCTCTCAGGAGGTGAATTTGAGCTGACTTTGAATGATGAGAAGGAAAAGGTGAGGCAGGAGAATGAAAAAAAAAAATCCAGCCTTTAGGAACAGACATTACAAAGGCCTTGGACCAAAAAAGGAAAAAGCCCTTGGTGCATTGGAGAACCTCCAGGTAGTCCAGTGTGAGTGGAGTAGAAGGAGGCAAGGGAAGCATCGTTTGAGATGCAGTTGTGGAAGGAGGTAAACCAAGGGACCAGATCCTGCCGTGTGTTCATTTGGCAATGAATAGAGGTTGGAATCCCAATTTATGTGATATTCATATACAGATTTTTAAAATCATGCTTTTTACTACTTTTATGTGAGATTCAGGAACATGGGTTTCTCCTCATCTCCAAGGATAAGGACTGCTTATTGTTGCTGGCCGTCGAGTCCCCTCTGACTTGGTGATCCCATGTACAGCAGGGCAAACCCTGTCAGTGGGCCCTCTTCGTGACTCTTGGTATTCTGCAGTCTGCTGCTGTGATTGCTGTGCATTTTGAGGTCCTGTCAAACTCGGGGGCTCAGCTTCCAGCATTATATCAGATAGTATTTGGTTGTGATGCATAAGGTTTTCATTAGCTAATTTTCAGTAATTCAGCAGGCCTTTCTTCTTAGTCTGGAAATGCCAGCAAAACCTGTCTCCCATGAGTACCCTTAATAGCAGTTGAAATACACATGGCCTAGCTTCTAGCATCATAGGCACATGCAAGCCACACAATAGGACAGACCGATTGCAGGTGGTGAAGGGAATACTTCACTTGGGCTGATTGTAGAAGAAGCATGATCTACCACAGAAACTGGTCTTTGAATGAACTCTCAACTATGTGCCCTAACCTCTTGTCTCCATGATTACTCATTATCTAGGACAGGGGTCCTCAAACTTTTTAAATAGGGGGCCAGTTCACTGCCCCTCAGACTGCTGGAGGGCCGGACCATAGTTTTAAAAAAAACTATGAACAAATTCCTATGCACAGTGTGCATATCTTATTTTGAAGTAAAAAAACAAATGGGGCAAAAACACCCGGCAGGCCAGATAAATGTCCTTGGCGGGCCGCATGTGGCCCACGGCCATAGTTTGAGGACCCATACTCTAGGACATGGGACTATAGATAACCAAGACCTTTCAGTCTCCCTGCCCCTAATTACGCCCTGCTCTTCCCTTGCTAGTGTCCCTCTTCGTTCAGACTCCCCTGCCTCAGATGTGCATGTCCTCCACCCGGCTGTTCACTTCAAAATGATATACCTCCTGCCTAGTCTTTCTCAACTGTATAAAAACAGCATGAACTTCTTCCTTCAACACCATTAATTCTTACTCATATGCTACCTCCTGACATGGTGGCATGTCAACGAGTTCTTTTTGCCACAACAACTCTGTATTCTTTCTGTCTTCTTTCATGCATAATGGAGTCTTTTTTCTAGAATCTTCAATATTGCAGCTTATCACATTTTGACCTAGCTACAATTACAATAATTTCATTCTGCAATGTACTTGCTCTGGTAATCTTTCCCATATCTGGTCCGTATTCAGAGGTGATTCATCGGAAGCTTAATCCCCATGGCGGGACCCTGAAAATGGCTTTGGGGTTTTCACCATCACCTGCAGCCTTTTGCAAATGCAGTGTTCAAAATTTAAGCTCCAATATCAATCCATCCTCAAGATTTGTTTTTTTATTATTTACTTTTTTTTTATCACACATGCTGGTGTGCTTCTTCCATGTGGACTTAGCTGACACCTCATTCACAGGGCTGCTTGTTTTAAGACAAGCCTTTAAGACCCCAGGGCCTATTCTTCATTTAGTTTCTTCACCACACTTTACTACAGCACCCATATCCTCAGTGATTACTTCATGGGTGTAGGCATTGAGCAAGGCCTTGTCATACGAATTAATTGTTCTTAGATGGAGACCATGGTTAAGTACAAGTTCAACATTCATTTGTAAGCTATGATTTATATATGTTCTTGGTTAGTTTTAATGATATCATTATTATTTTATTGAAGGTCATTATAAACTAGCCCTATCGGTATATGGTAGTTCTATTCATATTACCATTAATTTAGTCACTGGTATAGAATTTAAAATAGTGATTTTAAAAAAGTATACATGCATAGGACAGTTTTTAGACCAAAATACATGGATTGTGGGTTTATACAGATTAACAATTTAGGTGAATGTTTACTTACAAGAAGGTTTGAAGATAGAGCAAAACTTTCATGAATGCTCTTTCACAAAGTCAAAAAAAGTAGTACATATATGGTAACCTTGAGTTGCCACTTATTGGGCAACCTTCAGGCAAGAATGTTGAACCTAAGTCCAGTGACTTCCACATCGGTATCCTTGGCATAGTAGTCATCTGCCTCTCTTCGTACTGGGGCATTTCAGCCTTAGGCATATGGGAGTACTTCAGTTTCTTTAGTCTGCTATCTCTGTTTAAGGGGCAGCCAATTTCCTTAGTGGGAGTTCCAAATAGAAAGCTTCTGGTGTGGTCTGTGAAGGCTGCTGTGTGCCTCATACCTCAAAAGGAGAGAGTCTATAGTCCTTGTTGTATATAGCCTGGGTCACCAAGGGTTGAATATAAACTAGGTCAATTAGAAGCATGATACCAGGTTTATTATCCCCTTCATGGTCTATATACTTAACATTGAGCCTTTTCCTCAATGACACACTGCCCCACACCATTTGCACATTGACCAAAGTGTAGTCTCCTTCTCTGGGACAGACATAGTCTCCACTCTGCCACCCTTGACTTGGGTTTCCAGTAAGGTTCGTTAATCAATCTTGCAGGAGTGTCTGTTAATTTGGGGTGCCCTTAGATCAGTGTTATATGGTAGGAACTGATTGGTCTTTTCTCTCTGCTTTATGGAAAACTGACCCAGTTGAGCCTCCCCTGTCAGAGTGACTTCTAAGATGTACACGTAAGGAGGTGGTATATGGGTCGTGATCTCTAAGAAAGTGTACTTCCCTATTGCCTAGAAAAATGGAATAGAGAATTAGATGACCTGAGAACAGGAACTTGCCTTTTGCCTGGGGGTTATTTTTATAGTAGTGGTCTCCTACAATATTTGCCCTTTTGTGATTAGGTAATTTCACTCAGCATAATGGATCCCAGGCCCATTCATCTCATGAAGTATTTCATAACTGCCCCTTGTGTGCTCTACTATATCTGTATATGTATATGTAGCATATATGAATACATATGTAGAAATATCCTCTGTCAAACCTCTATAATCTTTTGTTTCAGATCCGCCTGAACAGCAGGGGACTAATCTACTCTGTGGGCTTGCTCCTGGCCTCTGTGTTTGTCACGGTAAGTTTGCACCTCATTCCTGAGTTAACATGTTCCTCTTCCCCTTGAGATCTTTAGCTGCAACATTTGTGGCTGGGGTGGGGGGTGTGTACCACAAGATGGTCTCCTAGTGATTTGATAGAACCAGACTCCACATGTCCATCTCCTGGTGGATCCAAGTAACCCACTAGGTACCCCTTCTCCTTTTCTGAAAGGAAAGCATGGCTCTGTTTCTTGGTGGGCACAAATCTCAAACAGAGAAGAGATGCTACCTTGTTTTCTACAAGGTTTGTCACAAAAGGATAGATTCCAAATAATCGACTGTACCAGTCTGAAAACAGCTCTACAAATAGAGGGGTTTGACCAACACTCAGAGACTAAAATATGTTTATATATATATTTTTTTAATCAATTTATTGGGGCTCATACAATTCGTCACAATACATAGATCAATTGTGTAAAGCACATCTATACATTTGTTGCCCTCATCATTCCCAAAATTTTCTTGCCTCTTGGGTTCCCGGAATCCGCTCATTTTCCTTTTTTTTTTAATTTTCCCCCCCTCCCCTTCCCTTTCCCCCATGCACCCTTAATAATTTATAAATTATTTTTGTATCTTACATTACACTGTCCGGCGCCTCCCTTCACCCACCCCGCTGCTGCCCGTCCCCCAGAGAGGAGGCCATATGTGGCTCCCTGTGATCCATTCCCCCTTACTACCTCCCCTTTCCCTCCTGATATCGCCCCCTTCACCCCCGGTCCTGAGAGTTTCTTCCGTCCTACATTCCCTGCGCTTCCAATTCCCCTCTGTACCGCTGTGCATCATCTGGTCTAACCAGGTCTGCAAGGCGAAACTGGGGTCCTGGTAGTTGGGGGGAGGAAGCGTTTAAGAACTAGAGGAAGATTGTGAGCTTCATTGTTGCTATACTGTACCCTAAGTGACTCATCTCCCCACTACCCCTCTGCAAGTTATGTCCAGTTGTTTTTATTATTAATAGTGGGCTTCTGTGACATTCCACTATCTTGGCATATATATCCACTCGTACAATGTAATCTTCAACGGACATATCTGGAAGGAAAAAAATTCACATCAACACCATTGTGACCCACATAAAGTAGCCATTAGTATGCAAGTACACTATTATATTTTCACATTAATAAGCACTGAGAAGCAATATTTTTTTCATTTAATTTTCAAGCAACTATTTATTCATTGAATTACACCTGGCATGTTGTTAACATACATGCCAGAGAATGTGACTTCAGAAGGCCATGCAGAAAGAGAGAGGTAATTTACATGATCAGGATATGAGTCAAATGTCTATTTTTCCCAAGAAAATACTGCCAGTGAAAATCTAAAGAACTTGTTCTTTCATAGTTAAGGAGGTTCTTCGGGTCTGGTATAATGTGGTCATAGCCAGGACTGATTGGGCACTCACCCAATGCTGGGGACCATACTAATTGTTTGCACATATATTCCTATGTGTCAGTTGCCACATCACCTTATTATCAGTCACATAATACAGCTAACAACAGAGACCTAGAAAAGTTAAGTAACGCCTCCATATTAGCACCAAGAGTCCATGGAGAAGCAAGTCCTCTGACATCAGAGTCCACACTTGTATCTACTGTGCCGGATCCTCGCTTCTCATGTACTGTGCTACAGTCATAAGATCTACTGGAGACTGAGCTACTGAAAACTGGGTTGTTGAAAGACAGAAGAGAAGTAGGCTTGGAGAAGAAGAGCAATTGCAAGTATGTTGAGTCTCAAGTGCTCATTGACATTCAAGGGGGAGGTCAGCAAAGCCATTGGAAACATTGGAGTTCAAATGAAAGTCCAGTGTGAAGACACCCGAATCTAGATGGTATTTAAACCTGCACAGTTTGATGAGATCACCAAGAGGTGAGTGGTAGACAGAAAAGACAAGAGGCCCAAGATCCCAGTCTTGGAATACTCCAACATTTGTAGGTCAGAATGGTGGGAACAGAGAAGGGGCAACTAGAGACGTGGTGAAAAGCCAGGACAGTGTGGTGGACTAGAAGCCAACTGAAGAAAGGGTGTCAGTGTGGCGGGGGTGGGGGGGAGGAGAGTGTGGGGAGGTGAGTGACCAGCTGTGTGAAATGCTTCTAATGGGGGAGAAGAACTCTGAGTGTTGATCATTAGATTTATAAACACAAAGCCATTGGTGCTCTTATAAGGGTGTTTTCTTGGGGGAGTGATGAAAGTGAAAGGTTGAGTGGAGATGGTTAACGAATGGAAGAGAAATTGGGACAACTGGTACATAAAACTTTCATATTCTCTTGTTGTAAAGGTAGGGAATAGAAATCAAGAGGGGGAAAAAAGTTGTTGAGAACTGCCTGAGACTATTCTTCTAATCAAGGCCATTTGAGAACGAGGGAGTGATCGGAGCGGAGGGCCGGTCTTGTGTGCACTCCACACCTCGGGGACATTATTTGCACGTGAGATGGCTGGTTTGGGGAGACGGTTTGGTTTTCCCAAGCTGAAGACGTACCAAAGTAGAGAAGGCTGCTGTAGTTGCCGAGTTAAACCCTCCAGTTCTCAGCCTGCCGGTAAAAAGACTTCCAGAGCTGTTTGGGGGTGTAGGAAACTCATTCCGGAGACGTCTGCAATGCCTGTGTCATGCTTGTGAAAAGATGGAAGAAGCCGCCGTCGGGATTTTTAAAAAAGGAGGAAAATCCTGTGGTAGCTGTAAGGGCAGGGCCCCATTTAAAGAGTACAATGACGCCAAAGAACAGGAACCCTCTATATGGAAACAAGATCAAAGGCAACCAGATCAATAAGCTGCAGGAGGAACAGAGATGTTCTAAGTCTGGGACTGGTAGTGCCGCCCAAGTGCCTCCCCTCCCAATCGCCTTGCGAGTGTGCTGAGCCAGGATGACTCAGCTCCAGAGGTGGCTTCTGGTGCGAACAGAGCACAGGCTTTCCCTTTTAGCTCCTACATCACCGGAAAAGACAGAAAAATATGTTGTGGCCTTATCTCTAAAAGCCATTTGGGGAAAGTTATCAACATATATTCAAACCCTGTTGCAGCAATTAAAAAGCATCTGTGGAGAAAGCACAGAGGAGCCAACATCAGACCCTAACTCATCTCCGCTCAGGCACAGTGACTGATGCTTATGTAGAAAGGGATACAAAATCAGTCGATATTTTGGAAAGGCACACAGAGTAACCTCCCTATTTTTATTTCAGATACTTGTTAGTCTGCAAAAAAAAACATTATGTATAATGATTTTGAATGGGTTCTTTTTCTCCCCGGTTCCACAAATGGGGAAGCTGGTGTCTAGCTAAAAAATATGTATATAATCTTTAAGGTGAAGCATTTGTCATAGGAAAGTTGAATCCTGCTGTAGAGGGCTGTTTATGTATTTTTTTTGTTTTTGATCCCTGTCTGTTGAGTGAGAGAGGGTGTTTCAGGGGACAGAACGGGGGTTGCTGTGCGATAAACTGTATGTTGTTTCAGTCTTTCTGTATTGGGAAGCAGATGTTATTGCTTGGTGTTGAGTTGGTTCCGAAACAGTGCTTGGGGCATTTTTAAAGATGGCTGTCTGCACTTATTTTCCTCCATGATAACAAATTTGCCATAACTCAGTAATATGAATTTGCCTCTAAAGGTATTTGTTAATAATTTTGAAATATTAAGGTTCTGGTCATTCAAATCTGTACTAAGGAAATATTAAGCAGGATTGACTAAACTCTCCAGGTACAAATACTTTGAAGAAGAAAGCTGAGTAAATATACAGAGAGGTAATTTGTGTACATTGCATCTAGTTTCACCTCTCTATATATACACATTTGAGAAAGATTTTAATTTATCCAAGATGTCTAAGGGTGCCTAAATTGGCTTCAAAGCATTACCACATGAGGGAGAACACATTTTGTTAAAAGACACTAGGCTACCTATAAAATAAAATGTGCACATAGTCAAAGTTGCATAAGATGAAGGTTAATACTTCTTGGGATCACATTCTTTAGAGTGCTTGCTCAGTCTGTAAACCATTGATTTTTGTTTGTGTTACATGACTGGTGATTTCACTGAAAATTTATACAATTTATTTTTAGCTCTGTTTTCCTTCAGTTGGCCTTTGGGAAGGTTTTATCAGGGTAGAGAGGGTGTTTGGCTTGTTTTAGCCTATTAGGATTGGACTTTGTTTCTCCTTCACTCAATATTTAAGGCAAAACTCTAATAAAAGAAAAGAGGTGTATGTCAGTGCTGAGTGGGTTAATTTTTTTGGTTAATAAATCATTTTATGATGATGGCCACATATGTACAACTTTGCTTGATACAATTGATGTATGGATTGTGATACGAGTTGTATGAGCCACCAATAAAATGATTTATATAAAAAAGATTATAATAATAATAATAATTTATAAATTATCAAGGGTTCGTGAGGGAGGGAGAGTGGGGCAGAGAAGGGAAAAACTGAGCTGATACTGAGGGCTCAAGTAGACAGAAAATGCTTTGAAAATGATGATGGCAACAAATGTACAAATGTGCTTGACACAATGTATGTATGTATGTATGTATGTATGTATTGTGATAAGACCTGTATGAGCCCCCAATAAAATTATTTTTTTTAACTATAAAATAAATATTTTTATTGAGGGCTCGTATAGCCCTTATAACAATCCATACATCAATTGAATCAAGTACATTTGTGCATATGTTGCCATCATCATTTCCAAAATATTTTCTCTCTACTTGAGCCCTTGATATCAGCACCTATTCCCACCCCCCTTTGTCCCCACCTTCATGAATCCTTGATAATTTACAAATAATTTTTATTTTAATATTTTACACCATCCACTGCCTCCCTTCACCCACGTTTCTGTTGTTCACCCCCCGGGAGGGAGAGGGCTTGTACGTCTATCATTGTGATCAGTTCTCCTTTTCTCCCCGGACCTCCCCCGCCCCTCATGGTATGGCTACTCTCACTATTGGTCCTGAGGCGTTTATCTGTCCTGGACTCCGTGTGTCGAGAGCTCTGTCTGTATCAGTGTACATGCTCCAGTCTAGCCAGATTTGTAAGATAGAACTGGGGTCATGATAGTGCCAAGGGGGCATTAAAGAACTAGAGAAATATTGTGTTTTGTTGGTGCTATACTGCACCCTGGCTGGCTTGTCCCTTCCTTGTGACCCTTCTGTGAGGGGATGTCCAGTTATCTCCAGATGGGCTTTGGGTCTCCATTCTGATCCCCCTCATTCCCATCCAAATGGTTGTTTGTTTGGGTCTTCTGATGCCTGCTCCTGATCCCATTGACACCTTGTGATCACATGGCTTGGTGTGCTTCTACCGTGTGGGGTTGATTTTTTCTTTTGCCTCTTTTAGGCAAGCTTTGTGAACACTGAGATTTGGAGGAATAAATAAACCATGAACGTGGGTCTCTTCGATTCTAAAGTCATCATTAAAAGCCTCTCTCCTGAATGCAAAGTTCTTTCATTGCCTCTTTTCTAAAAGTTCAGGAAAAAATTATCGTTAGTAAAGACTTCTCATGTTGGCAGCCTCATGGTAACAATATTCAGTGCTTATTTTTAAAGTTGGATTTAAAAAATCATATACACTAAATAGCAGTAAGGAGTGAGGCACTTATTATCAGTTTCCTATAGTTTTATAATCCATAATCTAAACCAAAAGGTTCAGTGTTTCTTCCTCTGGGGAAAAGCCTACAGGCTCCATTCCGCCACATGCAGACTCCACAGCGAGTTGGGTCAGCTCTCCCGCAGCCTTAGATGTGTCTCACAGGAGTCCCCGCCTTATCTTCTTCCCGCTGACTTGTTGGAAATGGTTTGTTTTCTCTTTTTGTAAATTTTGAGAGAGGCTTTGATTCCATAGGAATGTACTGCAGGGTTGGGAGAGAGAGGTGCCAGCCATCCTAGAAGGAGGATGTTGGAATGGTGAGAAAAAGGGGGACCGGTTAGGTGAGTGAGTAAGCCCGTACTTCCAGTCCTTATGGAGCAAAGCAGCACTGGGTGCGAGCAGTTGCAGGCTCAAAGACCAGTGATGGCCATCACTAAGAAGGCGGGCAGAGTCCTGTAGGGGGTGAAGGTGAACTGGCCCTCAGCCCTCCCAGGAACCGGGGCTGACTAGGATTGGAGAGTGGACTGCAGCCAGCAGAGAGAGTGTGTGACTGTGGAAGACTTTGATCCCAAGAAAGTGCTTGGGGAGGAGACCAGGAAGGTGGTTTGAAGGCAGCAGTGTAGAGGAAAAAGAACAACTTTTCTTGCCTCCAGGCTAAGAATGTGGAAGAGAAATATTCACACCTAAGAGGGTTTGGGGGAAGCGATGTCCTCGGGGAGAGCCCAATAAGAATGGAACCAAGAGGCAGTGACCTACAGCCACCGGTGAAGGGGAAGGAACAATGTCAGGTACAGGGGGTGTGAGCCCTGGACTCCAGGGTGGACAGTAGCTGCTGCCCTGTGTATTAATCACATCGTTTTTAATTTTTTTAATTTCCTATCAACCAGTAGCTCTGATTCCTATTCTTCTTGAGATGAGACTGGTTCTGTGGCTTCAGCGAGAATTGTGTACTGCCTAAGATTTATCCTGGGTGGCCCTCCCCCTCAGCTGCCCACAGTATCTGCTGACGCCACCCTCTGTCATTGCAGGTGTTTGGTGTCCACCTGAACAAGTGGCAGCTCGACAAGAAACTTGGAGGCGGATGTCTTTTCCTGTATGGTGTGTTCCTGTGCTTCTCCATCATGACCGAGTTCAACGTGTTCACCTTTGTGAACTTGCCCATGTGCAAGGGGCAATGATCTGCCAGCAGCCTGCCTAGACCCGGCTCCTTCTGTGCAATAGGAGACCCAGCCACCCTGAGTCCCATGGCCTGGGCTGGGCATCAGTCAGGCTCTCCTCACGGTTCATTCGCCTTGACTCCTGTCTGGGGAACAGTGGCCCCCTGCCTCGTCCCTCGCTCCTCTGATGCCTCAGGTCCTACATCCCACCAACTCCCTCACCCTTCCCTCGTGCCTCTTCTGTGTCAAGACTTCCAACATCCATGTGACTTCAATCTCCCTTTTTAAACAGTGACTGAGATTTTAGAAAAACCGGCTGCTAACTGGCCCAAGCCAGGCAAAACTTGTTCCCAATCCTCTTCCTTTTTTTTAATTAAGTTATTTGACAGAAGACTAATCTAATTTATGACCTGAGACTGTTGAAGAAGTAGAGAGGAGCGGGGTGCATTGACTGTGAGGGAGTTTTATGATTTAGTTTTGTTTTGTGGTGATTTCTTCGGTGACTGGGTTTGGGGTTTGCTCTGTCTGAGGGGTCTCCCCCCCCACACCTTTTCCCTTTCCTCCCAGAGATCGAGAGCTTTTTATATCATCTTTTTCACTGGGCTCTAGATTAGTTGATTATCCCAAAACTGCCCTGTAGTGTCTCCTGGGATTGGTACTAGCCACACTGGAATATGCCTGGACTTAGCGCTCATTGAAGGAACAGCTAGGCAACCTGCCCAGGAAAGAATGTGTGAGTTCTTATACCTAAGGATTCCCAAAGGCCTGTGGGAGTTACCTAGAGGGGTGCAAGATGTTAAAGGATAAAGATAGCTTCCCACATGCCCCGATAAGCACCACTTCTCCCTCGTCCTTTCTAGTTGTTCAAGCAATAGCTGTAGTCTGCCCAAGGCCTCGGAGGAGGTGGCCTGATTAAACTATCCACCCCGAGCCACCAGGCCATCAACACAGGAGCTTTCCAACTGAGTTCTTCAGATGGGCTTTTCGTTTCTTGTTTTTTCGCTTGGCCCTTGGGGTTCAAAGGGCAACCCACAGGCCGCCACTGCTTTCTGTGAAGGAGTTTATAGACACTGGTTTCTCGGAGGGGAAGAAGCGCACTTTGCACAGGCATTCTTGATACAGTCCCAACTGGCCACTTCGTATTGAATACACTGGACCCTGAAGTCTGGCTCTTGGCCAAATGCCCTTCCTTATAGGGGACCACTGCCAAGCTGACCTGGCTTCACCCTTTCCCTCCTGGAAGGATGGCAAAGGAAAGAGAAGACCAGAAAACTGACACCTTTGAAGCCACAAAATGTGTTAAACACAAACTTGCTAAAAGGCAGAAGTTATTGTGAACATTTTTGCCAATCACCACTCCATAGTCCTGCTAGATTCTGTGTGATGCTGAATTAATATGCATAATAATTCCACAAATTGAGATATACCCATGCTTGTTCTACTGTATTTATTGGAAATGTGGATTCTTGCCCGTTCTGACCCTCAATATTTACTTTTGAACACTGATCACTCCTCATTTATCGGTATGGTTTTTTCCCCTATCCCTTGTACACTTTCTGGTATGAGTTGTAAAAGCAATATGCTACAAATTGGTTGAATGCTTCTGTCTACGGCATAAACTGAGACCAACGTTAGCCCATGGGACGCCCACCCAACAGAAGGACCAGAGAGGAAATCGCCAATTTGGTCTTTCAGAGCCACAGCACACTTACTGACTCTGTTGCACATTTTGCACTGGTTTATGGCAATTGTTTTCTTTGGATGGATAGTGTAAAATAAACTTCTCTGGTATGTATTCTTTCTTGAGCAAGCACATTCCTGTCTCTCTTGGGATGTTGCTTGTCTTAAATTGAGGATTACACCCGGGAAGTGAATTAATTGTACCTTTGTTATATAGACTAGTATTACTATGTTTACTATTTCTGGGTTGCCTCACCTAGAAAGTTGGCAATTTGCTTGGCAAAGTACAAGTGTGAAGTAGCAAATGGTGGGACCTTTGTCACTCTTCAAGGAACTGAAAACCTGTTGTCCTATAGAAAACGTGACTTTCTGTTAAGAATCCTTATAGCTGTCCATCTGTGGCAGAAAAAGCATCCCAAGACTCAGGGTCACACTTACCTGAGTTCCATTCTCCATTTTTTTTATTTTACTAGTTTCTAATCGTGAAAACCAAGACATCCCCACAGCTGACTCCTTAAAAGAGACAGCAACACCTAATTGTAATAAGGCATGTTCTTCTCCTGTATGACTCTCACAGACAATTATCTGGACCTAAACGTAGACCCAAGTTCACAAGCATGCTGGTTTCCACCTGAAACTGACACACAGACCCTAGAAATCAAAAGGAGTATTCTTCCTAATGTATAGTGGTGACTTTCTTACCTCTTTAAAAATCATATATTCTTGGAGGAATCTTAGAATAATTACCTTGAGAAAATATTGAAATCATTAAGGATTTCATCTTGGATCTACAATCCATGTTCATTGGCCAGCAGTCTGGATATCAAAAGATGCATTGCAATGGGTAAATCCGTTGCACGAGACCTCTTTAGAATACCGAAAAGCAGTGAGGTTACCTTGAGGACTAAGGTGCGCCTTGCATAAACCATGGTATTTTCAATTGCCTTACATGCATGTGAAAGTTGAACATTGAATAAGAAAGACCAAAGAAGTATTGATGTATTGGGACGGTGCTGGTGAAGAATATTGAAAGTACCATGGACTGTCAAAAGAACCAGCCTTGGAAGAAGTACGGCCAGAGTGCTCCACTCCACAGAGGCAAGGATGGCAGAACTTCATCTTAGGTGCTTTGGACATGTTGTCAGGAGATACTCGCCCCTGGAGAAGGACATCATGCTTGGTAAAGGAAAGGGGCAGGGAAAAAGAGGAAGGCCCTCAATGATATGGATTGACATAGTAGCTGTAATAATGGGCTCAAATATAGGAACATTTGTGGGAATGGCGCAGGACTGGGCAGTATTTCTCTCTGTCGTGCATAAGGTTGTTATGACAATGGGCTTTGGAAGGGGGTGGGGATAGTTCAGGGAAGAATTTTTCTGAATATCACATACCTAACAACACCAATTAGTGAAACACTCATACTTACTCCATGTGCTGTTTTGCTGTGGCCTTGTGGCCAAGTGTCTTTGAGAAGGAAAGACACGTAATGGGCTCTGGGGAGCTTGTTCATTCTCCGGTGCACATCCTAGTTGACCAGAAGGAACCACCAGAAAGAATCATCACAACCTTATTTTTCTGGATTTGTGCCCTGCTTGACTGAGCTTGCCACGGGTCACTGCCAGTAAACATGCCCTTCAAGGCCATGGCCGCAGGCACTCTGAAAGGCCACCAGGAAACATTTCCAGACACTATGGAAAGATGACTTCTTCCCCATTCCAAAGGAATGCTCCAGCACTGCCTCTTAAGGGAAGTGCCCTGTTTGTTTCTCATTCACATCCAAAAAGGCTCAGAGTGGAGGGTAGGTGAGTAAGGCTTGTTTATGACGTTCACTAGGTCTTTTGTGTTGGACACGGGCACTTCGCCATCATTAATCTGCATGCTAGGAATTTGAGTCTCCTCATAGGGCAAAACAGCACCTTTGTAGTGACTTGGATACTCTGGTCACCTAGAACAGCCTAAGCATTTTAAAGGAAGAAAGAGGTGATAATATTGTAATGCTCAGGCTGTTCTCGTGTGATATATTAGATTTCTAAATAACATCTAACTTGTAGTACATGTAATCAAAGGAAGCTTTATAATTTTAACCAATTGTGCATGAGACGATTCAAATTGTAAGCAAAATCAGAAGGGTGAAATTGTAATGGTGATGTTGCCTTTGCCAATTCTTTGTTTTTGCACCTTTACAAAATAGGATAAATATCACGGTTATAGGAGAATTATTCATTATTCTGACTCATTGCCAACAGCAATTTTTAATGAAATGGGCTATTTTTATGTTGGATTTTATGTCATCTCATACTAATTAAGGCATCTCAGTTATTTTAATATACTCTACAGCCACTTCCTAGTGTACATGCACACACACACAGAGTCTGACACAAAAGCTGTCTCGAGAAACAATCCAACTGATCTCTGAAACATTTTTAACACCCGCTGCTTGAGAACCTCCACAGCACACTCAGGGAGAGTATTATATGCCCTGTCCCTGAACTGATTTCACACTGAACTTAGTTCCATTTAAACTTTACGAAGCATTTATTCCTCAATATGGTCTAGCCAATAACCTCAAAGTTCACTACCGTTGAGACAATGCTGCTGATAATGAGCCTCTATAAGTGTGCATTTTTATGGTAGCAAATAGCCTTATCTTTCTCCCATGGAGTAGCTGGCAATGAGCAGTTCTGTGCTGACCAGACAGCACCAATACAAGATAAAAAGGTAAGGTCACTGCCACTGAGTTGATTCTGCTTTATTACTATTCATTTATTACTATTCACTTACAGAGCAGAAAGCCTCTTCTCTCTGGGAGTGACTGGTAGTTTCAAATTGCTGGCCTTGCCTAGCCCCCCAGTGGGTCACCCACTACAATGGTTTCTCTAGACAGCACCACAGTCCCATTAAATTAAGACATTTTTTATTGAAACGCAATTGAGCAAACAGTCTGGACAAGCTGTCGGAAATTTAAACATAGTAACCAGCCATAGTTAATACTTATTTTGGTTTTGGACTTATTTTTTGCAATAAGAGAGAAGATCTAAGATTATTACAATTTTGGCATATTTAAGGGTATCATTTAAGGATGTTTCTACTTTGGTACATCTACGTGGAATTATGCATACATGTATAAACTATGTTTTTAAAAGCAACGTAACCTTTCCTGCTTATCAAAAAGTTAATTTAGTGATGTCACATCTTCTGATTTGTTGGGACAATCCAGTAACTGATTCAAGAAAACTGCACAAAAGTACTTGAAATGAAATACAATGTGAGGACTTCCAAGATCCTTGTAGTATTTTGGGGTATTTCTGCTAGCCATGAGACAGGAAGTTCAAATCCACCAGCTACTCCATGAGAGAAGGATGAGACTGTCTTCTAAGTGATTTTTGCTTTCAGAAACCCTAACGAATGCTTCTACTCAGTCCAATAGGGTCACTGTGAATTAGGGTCCCCTAACTTGATGGCAGTGGCCTTTGCAGGGGTGTTCTAAGCAGGACACCTACAGTTCATTACTAAAAAGACATGTACTTGGTATAAAGACACTTTCAGAATAAAACTAATATGTGTTGAGTTATTGAAGAAAAAAATGTATACCAAGTTTTATTTGTCTTTAGTTTTGAGATGTTAAATCAAATTTTTCATCTCTCCCATGAATTATGAGAGACCATTCCTTTTTTAAATTCTAGGTACTAAACCTGAACTCTGTTCAGTTATAATGGATCTAGCAATGAATTTAAACCAACATGCCTACTGTTTTATTTCTAAGAGTTTTTTTTGTTTACTGTTTGCATGTTAATTACTGTACTACTTCTAGTGTATCATAAAAAGGGAGCCTTGGTGGCATAATGGGTTATGTTTAGGGCTGCTAGCCATGAGGTTAGCTGTTCAAAGTCATCAGTTGCTCCATGGGAGAAAGATAGGCTTTCTGCTCCCATAAAGATTACAATCTTAGAAAGCCAAAGGGCAGTTCTAATCTTTTCTATGGGATCACTATGATTTGGGATCAACTAGATGGCAATATGTTTTTTGTTTTTATTTTTGGTTTAAACATTTTTACCAAAACAAGTGAAATTCATTTTCCAATTGCTTAAAAGCTAAATATTCTATCAAACTCCAAAGTGGGTTACGCATTGGATGGTGAATCACATGGTCAGCAGTTCAAACCCACCAGCCACTCTGGGGGTAGAAAGATGAGGCTTTTGCTTCTGTAAAGATTACGCCTCAAAAACTGTGGAGCAGTTCTTTGCCCGGTGGGGTCACTGAGTCAGAATCAACTTGACGGCAGTAGATAATAGTTTTACAACCTAAACTACTGGTCTCAAACTTACTAATGCATCCAGATCACCTGCAGGCTTACTAAAGTGCAGGTTGATGATCCCCATCTCTGAGTGTATGATTCGGTAGGTTGGCGCATGTAGACCCAAGAATTTGCAATCTCACCAACTCCCAAATACTGATGCTTTTAGTCTGGGACCCACTTTGAGAATCATTGTTCTAAATAATATCCTTTGCCCGTAAAACCACATTCCACCTACCAGCTCCTCCGAACCACTGATCTACAAACACACACATACAGATATACCTATTTCTTTCCTTCTTTTTAAATTCTTGCTTCTTTCTATTTGCACTGAGAACAAGGAATGGCTAGAAGTAAGGAAGTAAATGTGACCGATTCCTGATCACTTGCATTTTCTGTCACCTTGTAGTCTTTGCCTAGTCAAAACTCATTTTTACATTTAAGCCAAGCCAGAGCAAAGTCGGTGGCCTAAGTGAAGACATGGGAAAATGAGAGTCTGGGTAAATATTAGCTCAGCAGACATGGAAGTAGGCACCTGTCAACTTCATTCATAGTGGAAAGCTTCAGTCATAAATGATAACGAGAGAGCCACCATGGGTATAGAAGACATTTTCTGCACATATCCTTGTATTTCCACATTACAATTATGTATAGCTTACTTTCTAATATAAAAATTGAATGCAAATTAATTTACCAAAGATGTCATGGACCAGTGGGAAAAAGTTCACCATAGATTTTGCCTTTGTGGCCCACGTGCTGCAGATGCATTTCTCCTGGATTGCCTTAGAAGCGAGCACAGAATACACCCAATGGCACAACTTCTA